ACGGGAGCGCCGCCACGCTTCCCAAGCGGCGCACTATCCAGTGCGCCACCGGGCCGGCCCGCAAGAAAGGTTTTATTACACACATTCCTCATACATACGGGAGCATGACTACATAATTCAGCGGTTTCCATGAATCCATGTGGTTAATGGATAGTAAGGAAGGACTGAGTGCATCTTTAAGGCACACATCAAAAGCTGCTCCCATCTTTCAGGCACACATCCAAAGCTGATCGTACTGCCCTGAACTACTGCCTCAGAGCACACACGCCTGGTGGTAAACCACCTTGCCAACTTCTGTTTCTGATAACATGGTGATTTGAATCTTTTGGGGTAACCGTGGTGGGTTCAATAGAGTCCTCTCGAAAATTCATGCCCACCTGGAACTTCATAATGTGACCGTAGCTTGAAATAAGATCTTTGTAGATGCAATCAATTTGAGGCCATAATGGTTTAGGGGTACCTTGTAAAAAGAGGGAAATTAGGACACAGAGACAGGAGAATGTCAAGTGACAACAGAGCAGAGATCGGAGTGATGCATCTAAAAGCCTGGGAACACTGAGGATTGCTGACAGCCACCCGAAGCTAGAAAGAGACATGGAAGGGTTCTCCCGCAGAGGCTTATCATGGACGTTGGGTGTCTTGTTCCCCAAGAGCTTGTGTGGAAATCAGACCCCGAATGTGGCCAAAATCTGACCCCGAATGTGGCCGTGTTGAGAGCCTGTTGAGTCATAGGTGGTGGATCCCTCACACAAAGATGAATACCCTCCCTGGGGGTAGGTAGTGAGTGAGTTCTCGCTCTATTATTTCCCGCAAGAGCTGGGTGTTTAAAAGGACCCTGGCACCTCCGTCTCTCTTGCTTTGTCAACCATGCCCCACCATTTTCCACCATAAGGAGAAGCAGCCTGAAGCCTGCACCACACACAGCTGTCCCAGAATCGTGAGACAAATAAACCTCTTATTTATAAATTACCCGTTTTCAGGTATTCTATTATAGCAACACATAAATGGACCAAGACGGCTTCAGAGGTACCACAATCCTGCTGACACCTCACTTTCAGACTTCTAGTTCCCAGAACTATTGTTTTAATCCACCCAGTTTGCAGTTATTTGGTATGGCAGTCCTAGAAAACTAACATGGTAGCCTTTTTATGATCTTGAACCCCTATGAGACTGTGATGAACACTTTTCCCAGAAAAATGCAATTGTTCCCTTAGGCACAAGACACTGCACCCAATTTCTGAAGTTCCACACAGGGTCTTTGAATTCAGGTGAAAAGGTTCTACGTGACTAATATGGGTGGGCTGGGAAGGAGGGCTCTTGGGAGAAGGCAGCAGCAGAAATAGTGAGACTCCCGTAAAAGGCAAAGTTAGCAAGTATGAGCGGTGCCTGGTGCTCCAACGAGGGCCAAGGTAATGTGACAGGTGTAGGAGACAGTAAGACAGTAAGAACAGACAGCTTTGAGGAACTATATACACAATAGGCCAGAGCCTTTGTTCCCATTGCCATTTCAGCAACGATATTTTCTAACTAAAGAAATAAGGCAAGAAAGAAACAGGTTACAGTTTTCTAAAAAGTGTAAAATGGGGGCTGCTGGTTAGCTTCATTGGTTAGAGTGTGGTGTTGGTAATACCAAGGCCAAGGGTTCAAATCCCTGGGCCATCAGCTGCCAAAAAACAAAACAAAACAAACAGTATAACGGTCTTACCTTAAAGTGGTTTAATTCCTTTGCACTTTTGATGCTTTAAGTCTCCAACATCAAAAGTGACTGGATCCCCAGCTAGTGAGGCCTGCAGAGGTCCCACAAGAGCAGTGGCTGAGACACAAAGGCAGGAGGGAGCAGCAGCCTTAGATGGGTACCAAGAGAGACCAGAAGCTATATAGATGGGCAGCAAGAGAGACCAGAAGCTATGGTTTCCCTTCCTTCCATTTTTCCTTTGTTAGTATCAGCCCTTTAGAAAATTCTGGCATGGCCACAAAGAGGTGAAAGAGGGAGCAGATTCCAATTAAGGGCTAGATGTGGCGGTAGAGGGAGCTATCACAGCTGATAGTGTGGGTAAGGTTGGGCACCTAAGATCCTCAGTGAGGTGAACCCCAAGCAGGGAATGTGTCAGGCCAGCAAAGATGACTCTCATTCCCCACCAGTTAGGAAGGATACTCGTCCACTGGCCCATAACATCTCACATGCCCCGGACATCTCCTAGCCCTATGAGACCTTGTGAGGAGGAGGTGAGGAATAGTGAGATTTGGAGTTAGACAGACCTTGCTTCAAATCCCATCCTCACCACTTTCTAGCTGTGAGACTTTGAACCATTCAATTAATGTCACTCAGCTTAATTTCCTCATGTGTAAAATGGGGATAATAATATCTGCCTCACAGGGTTGTTACAAACTGTGTTTTATTTTTTTATTATTATTATTTTTTTTGGTCCTTTTGAGACCGGCCGTACCGCGCTCGGCCAGGGAGCGCTGTGAGCGCACTGGTCATCCCTATATAAGATAGGGACCCGCGGCGGGAGCGCTGCTGCCCTTCCCAGCGCTGCACTCTCCCGAGTGCGCCACAGGCTCGGCCCACAAACTGTGTTTTAAAGGGGCTTTTGCTCCCAAGACCTTCCCTGGCTTAGTGCTTGTCCATTTACCTGGACTAGTACTTAGGTCTTCTCCCTCCAGCAGCCATGCGCCTTCTCCTTGTTCAAACTTGCAGTTCACGAGAGGCTGGGAAATGGAAAGTCCTCTTCAAGGGGAATATACAGGCTTTTGAGATCATCCTATGTATAAATACCCACGCAGAACTCAGGACAGATAAAACTAGCCAGTTATGTTGTTCCTTTCATTCATCCAACAAATGCACATATATTTTTTGGCACTGGCCAGTAAGAGGATTTGAACCCTTGACCTTAGTGCCTCGGTGCTATAACAGCACACTCTGATTGGCCAGCTTGAACAGATATTTATTGAGCAATCATTTGGTGTAGGCATTAGGGGATACTGCAAGAAATAAGACAGACAGACACGGTGCCATTGTCTTAGTAAGGCCTTTTTGCAAGAAACTAAAGAAACAGTTTCAAGGAGGGGTCAAGCCAACGTGCTAAGCTAAGCCCATAAAGCACCCTACTTCAGAAGATGGGAACTTACTGAATATGGAGGAACTAACCTGAGGGTTGCCTTACCTCTCCTGGGAAATGAATGAATGGGGAGGTGTAGCCTTAGGGGAAGCAAACGGAAACTGCCTATTTGCTGACAAGGCATGCAGAGGCTTTCAATTAGGGAACAAGGAAGAGTAAACACCATCCCTCTGGTGCATCACAGTAATTAGAGATCTCTACACACTGGAAAGAAAGTGCCAAATTTTCAGAACTGAGCCAATTTTGAATTTTTTTTTTTTTTTTTTTTGGCAGCTGACTGATTTGGGGATATGAACTTTTGACCTCAGTGTTATAACACAGAGCTCTTGCCAACAGGGTTAACAGGCCATCCCGTGATTCTCAATCTTAAAGAAACAGTTTCTTTACCCAGTAGGACCAGGTTCCTGGTCTTTTCTGGTAACCCCTCCTTGACCCTGTCCTTTGGAGAAGGGAGCAGGTGCCTCCACCCATCTTGGGTAAAAGCTACAGTCATGGGCCGGCCCCGTGGCTCACTCGGGAGAGTGCGGTGCTGACAACACCAAGGCCACGGGTTCGGATCCTATATAGGGATGGCCGGTTTGCTCACTGGGTGAGCGTGGTGCTGACAACACCAAGTCAAGGGTTAAGATCCCCTTACCGGTCATCTTTTAAAAAAAAAAAAAAAAAAAAAAAAGCTACAGTCACGCTTCTAAAGGGTGTGGATCCCTGAAACAATAAGCAAATTCCTTCTTGCCTGTGTTCTCAGGGTCTAGGGTGAAGGTGAAGGGGGCAGTAACAGTGGCACTTTTGGGGAAGCTGGAAATGAATCTGTGAACGGATTCACATCCCTGGGTAGTTTAAGAAAAGCATTATATCGATCAGTTTCTATGTGCCTAACACTATAATGGATTCTGACACACATACACACACACAAAAACACTGTCTCTTGTCTTTGCAAGTTTATAATTGTGGTAGAATTTATGTGTAGATACTTAGAAAATGTGTGCGTGCATGAGAAGTAATTGGGCAAGAACCAGCAGGTGCTTGGAACATACAACAGCCAATACCAAAAAGAAAAATTAGAATGTGAGTTCATACAGTGAAGGATCACTTGCAAATTATCAAAAAAATGTGAAAGCTGAATTTTCAAACATTTAACAAATATTCCCATGAACTTGGTTATCACCCACCCAGTACAGCAGGAGAGTCAGGTATATACACAACCAAATGTAATAGTATGTGTGAAAGGGACGGATGAACTGGTTGCTAGGAGAACTGAAGGGGAGACGGAGGACAACCAGGGAAGACCACAGAGAGAAGCCAATCACTGAGCTGGCACTGAATGAGGAGGTTCCCCACACAGGGCAAGGGAAGGATATCCAAAGCACGAAGGTGAGAAAGTCCTCACATGTTCAGGAAATGGCAGGCATTCCAGGCAAGGGTCGGGGTGTGGAGGGACGACGGATCTAGAAAGGTGGAAGTCAGAATGTAAAAAGCTTTAAATGACTTGATAGACATGGTGCTTTTATCCCTTAGGGAAGGGAGCTGGTGGAAGACAGATGTGCCTTGAGATGGTGGTGGGAGAGAAGGTTAAGAACGCCAACAGTGTCAGGGACAAGTTGAGAGAGGATCCTGCTCAAACAGAGGGACTAGATACACAGCCAGAAATGGGCTTCATGAGAGAAGATGTGAGGATGAAGCAAAGCTGTTTCTTGCCTGGATGACTAGACAGATGATCCTGTCATCACAAACAGAAGAAGCATGGGAAGAAGGTCACTGCCCATGTCAGCTAAGTAAGTACTTTGTTTTTGGGCTCACAGAGTTTAAGGTGACTGTAGGACAGGGAAGTGCAGATGTTCTGTAACACGCAAAAACATGGAGTTCAGGAGAGTCAGAGTGGGAGCAGTAAGGCATGCAGGTGGCAGCTCAGCTATTCTTACAACAAATAGGGGCCTACTCTATGCAATGTACCCTCTGCTAGATGCTGGTCGGGGGGATGGGAGGAGCAGCCAGGTGGGCAAGGGAAAAACTAATCAGGAGATTACACCACAGTATTAACAAAAGACAGTAATTATTTCCTAACCAGGTTCCACAGGAACCTCCAACACAACAAAATGCAACAGGGAGACCCGCATTTACCTGCCGTCCCTGTCTATTCCCAGGTCGGGGAATGGCACCTAGTTGGCCAAGGTAGAAATCTGGATGTTATCCTCTCCTTTCTTGCAGCACCCCCCCCCCATCAACCCCTATTGCTTATTCCTCCTAAGATCATGAGAATTCAACCCTTTCTTTCCACTTGTCTGCCACAGCCTTAGTGTAAGGCAGCATCATTTTCCAGATTAGAACTAGTCTGCCAACCTCTAATTTTACCTGCCCTTCCAATCCATCCTTTACCCTGAGAAATGCACTAAATGGAACAAAGAGGGTCAATTTTTATAAATTTGTAATATTGAAAATATCTGGGTAAATTTATAATAATCAAGAAAGTAAAATCCATCATAAAGATACACGGCATGAACCAACTAACAAAAAGTTATATAACACATAAAGGAAAAACTGTAGGAAATACAAGGAGAAATTTAAAACAGTACAGTTTCAAGAGATGTTAAAATAACTCAGTGACTGACAGAATTAATCCAAAATGAATAAACAAACAAAAAAATAAAGATATGGAAGAACCAAACAATTTTAGAAGGTTGAGCTGACAGGGCTATCAAACCCTACATCCTGCAATCACATTGTACCAGTATTTTGTGTTGACAAGAGACATGGACTCCATCCTCATAATGCACACACCAGCTGAATGGGCAAAGAAATCAAAACCATCATTTTAGAATATCTAAAAAAAAAGGAGCCGGCCCGGTGGCGCACTGGAGAGTGCGCTGCTTGGGAGTGTGGTGGCGCTCCCGCCAAGGGTTTGGATCCCATGTGGAGACCGGTTCCCGCTCACTGGCTGAGCACGGTGTGGGCGCAACACCGAGGGTTGCGATCCCGTTGCCGGTTAGTAAAAAAGACAAAAAAAAGGAAAAAAAAAACCTAAACGCGTAATAACTTCGTATAGCATACATTATACGAAGTTATACGAAGACCGGTTCCCGCTCACTGGCTGAGCACGGTGTGGGCGCAACACCGAGGGTTGCGATCCCGTTGCCGGTTAGTAAAAAAGACAAAAAAAAGGAAAAAAAAAAAAAATCAACTGCCAAAAACTTTCAATGTAGGGGCTGGCCAGTTAGCTCATTTGGGAGCGTTTGGTGCTGTTAACACCAAGGTCAAGGGTTCAGATTCCTGTACCGGCCAGCTGCCAGAAAAAGAAAAAAAGAGAAAAGAAAAAAATCCTTTCAATATAAGCAAGGAAGGAAGAAAATAAATTGAGGATTCAACTCAAGCTGTGGAGTACACTATGAAACAAATACATTTCACAGGGGCTAGTTACCTGTAGTTTCAGGTTTAGCCTAACTTCTTACAAGTTCATATAAAAATGTTAACCTTGCAATACACAGGAAATTTTCCCCAGGCTAACAGTCTCTGTTGTAAGATAAAGAATTGTAGCACAGCAATGTTGTTGGCTTAAGGACAGACAAATTACTGATTGCTATGTAATGATACTGGGAAATTGCTGTTGGGAAAAATAGTGTTTGCTAAGATCAAGCATTTATTTGTGGATCGACTTAACCTTTTGCAAATTGCATTATGGAATATCACATTCCTTGTCACCAGCCTTTATTGTTAAACTATAATTGGTCATAACCTGACCTATGTTCTTTTCCTGTACCTTCCTCATCTGGAGAATAAATGCGAGCGGAGAACCCCTGTTTGTGGTTAATTTCCCAAAGGAAGGAATGCCTTGCTCTGAAGGGTTCCAGAAGATTAACCCCTTTAGGGTCTCTCACTGCTTAGAAGAGATGGGCTTTGAGTCATCTTTTTGCGGCTTAGTCACCCAGAGAGAGAGGTGATAAATCCGTAGGAAGCAAAGCAAAACAAGCAGTTGAAAAAAAAAAAGAATTTTAAAATTAGTAAAGAAAATTATATTAATAAAGAGAACTGATGAAGAAATCCAAGAGCAAAGTTTTAAAAACTGAAAATAAATATGCCACTTCCTAGTCAAGGAAGAAGGGACTAAGCAGTCAAATGTATCAGAAATGATTTGGTACAATGCTCTTAATGAAATGGGGAAATGTTCATCAAATTCTGCTAAATGGAAACAAAAAGGTTAGGAAGCAGAAAATTGAGGAAATACAGAAAAGGAAGAACGTGACTGAAAGGACACAAGTTAAAATGTTAAGTACTACCTCATTATGGGATTAACGGTGATTTTAAATTTTTCGTGTTTTCTATATTTTCCAGGTTTTCTCGAATAAAAATAAATTGCTTTTGTGAATTATGGGGGAAAAAAACCTCAAACCAATCCTACCATTAGTATTAGGAATAAAAGAGGTTGCCTCTTAGAGTAAATTTTCAACTTACCTGGTGCCCAGTTGTGCAGAGACTAGAATGCATTCCTCCTTCTCCTGAGTCTTCCTTTTGGGGAAGGGCAGGATCCCCAGAAGGTGGTACTAGAGGAAGAGTAAGAAATCAATAAGACATAGAAGTTTGCAGCCTATAGAGTCACCAATTCACACTATGAAGAAAGGGTTCAAAGGACACTAGGGCTGAACTGGCAGACCTGCAGTCTCATGTAAATTTTCCCATTCTCCCCTACCTCAGAAATTCCATCAGCTCACTCAGATGCAGGGAGACACTAGAGTGTAACAGACTCTCAACACCACTCACCAGCAGTGTGCAAATCATGTAACCGCCCTAAGTCTCATTTTTCTCATCTGTAAAATGAGGATGATAATCTCCTGGAAGGTTGCTGAAGATTATACGGACATACAGATAAATTAGTGGCACAACGCCTAGCATGTAAGTGTACAGTTGACAAATATTATCTATTACTTAGTTCTTTGGAGAAAGTGGCTCTGCAAATTGAAGACATTTGCTTAATAAAAAGAAGAGGTAATAGATATTTCTACAAGGAAGACATAGAAATGGCCAATAAATACATGAAACGCAACATCATCAGTCTTTAGGAAAAAGCAAGTCAAAACCACAATGAGATACCATTTCACACCTACTAAAATGACTACAATAAAAAGGATAGAAAATACCAAATGTTGACGAGGATGTGGACAGATTGCAGCCCACACACACTGCTGGTGAGAATGTACAAAAGTGATGCAGCCACGGTTAAAAACACTTCAGCAGTTCCTGAAAAAGTTAAACAGAGTTATATGATACAGTCACTCCATTCGTAGGAATACACACGAGAAAAAAAAGCATATGTCCACACAAAATTCACTGAGGAATGCATAAACAAAATGTGATATATTCATATCAGAGAATATCATTCGCCCACAAAAATAAGGAAGTACTGATGCATGGTATTACATGGATGAACTTTAAAAACATTCTAAGTGAAAGAACCCAGACACAAAAGGTCGCTCGCAAATTTTATGAGTGCACTGAAATGAAATGTCTTGGGCAAATACAGAGACAAAAAGTAGATCAGTGGTTTCCAGGGACTTGTGTAGAAGGAGGTAATCGGAAGTGACTGTTATTGGGATAGGGTTTCTTTTCTGGGTGAGGAAAATGTTCTGGAATTAAATAGTGATGGTTGCACACCTTGTGTGAATAATAAAATCCACTGAATTGTACACTTTAGTTTGTTTGTTTGTTTTTTTTTTTTAAAGATGACCGGTAAGGTGATCTTAACCCTTGACTTGGTGTTGTCAGCACCACGCTCAGCCAGTGAGCGAACCGGCCATCCCTATATGGGATCCGAACCTGGGGCCTTGGTGTTATAAGCACTGCACTCTCCCGAGTGAGCCACAAGCCGGCTTCTTTTCTTTTTTTTCTAAAAAGATGACCGGTAAGGGGATCTTTACCCTTGACTTGGTGTCGTCAGCACCACGCTCAGCCAGTGAGCTAACCGGCCATCCCTGTATGGGATCCGAACCCGGGGCCTTGGTGTTCTCAGCACCGCACTCTCCCGAGTGAGCCACGGGCCGGCCCGAATTGTACACGTTAAAGCGGTGAATGTTAAGGTATGTGAATTATATCTGAATAATAGTAAACAGACCTGGATACTAGTCTTAGTACAGACCTTCTGTTACTGAGTTGTACATAAACCCACTGTACCTTATTTTCTCCTTTGCATTATGGGGAGGATGATAACCACCCAACCTGCATTCCCAGGTCTCTAGGGAAGACAACAGAAAATGCTGGATGTGAAACTGCACTCCTCATTCTGCAATTGCAAGACCAAATACAGGAAGCCCTTGATCTAGAGGAGGATGGCACCGACCTTGGTGGTTAAGACACCGTACACTTTTGTTCTGTACTGCTATCAACGGGTTCTCAAAAACATTATTTTATTTGATGATTGAAATTCTGAGAGGAAGGGCCGGCCCATGGCTCACTCGGGAGAGTGTGGTGCTGATAACACCAAGGCAACGGGCTCGTATCCTATATAGGGATGGCCGGTTGGCGCACTGGGTGAGCGTGGTGTTGACAACACCAAGCCAAGGGTTGAGATCCCCTTACCGGTCATCTTAAAAAATAAATAAATAAAAAATAAAAAAATTACAAAATAATATTCTGAGAGGCAAACAAAGTAGTTAGTGTTATTTTGTCCTTTCAGGAAAACCCAGAGTAAGAGACCTGGCAGGTACCCCCACAGCTTTAACA